ACGTAATTTACTGTATTTTCCTCGATTACTGTTTTGTTCCCCCACCCCCCCACCCCCACGTGTTGTTTATTTAAGGTTTTGTTTTAAAAGAAAACTTTTTAATTTAAACTTTCCTCTCCTCTCGTTACAGGTTGTTTCAGGTACACGTCGTTCGGATACGGATACAGAGATTTTTTCGAATTTCGTAGTGATAACATATCGCCGAATCACATTTTTTATTTTAATTTCTACGTGAAAACCGTTAGCGATGCACACATATTATTAAAAAGCTCAGTTTCAGGTTTGCAACCTTAGAAAAAAAAATTTGTTTTGTTTTGTTTTTGCTGGATTCGAATGAGTTTTTGTTTTGTTTTTGTTTTTTGATATCAGGTAACGAAAGCATCGAAATAGTCATTGGTGGAGGTTCGAATACGTTTTCACAAATACGTTTGTTAAGAAACGAAGATAAGAAAACAATATTGACGCAAAAAACGGAAAATATACTTTCGGAAATAAATTATCGTAAATTTTTAATATCCGTCGATAATCTCGGTATCGTTTTCGTTAAAGATGAAAATGATGTTTTTCTAAGTTGGAGATTCGATAATTTATTTCCGATTAAATATTATGCATTCGGAAGTTGGACGAATACAAAAGCGGATTGGAAATTCGGTTGCGATAAAAATACAGGTACGTACCGTACATACATAGTTTTTGTAATTTCAGTTGTTTTTCTTTACGTAAAATCCGCCATTTTGTTTTTGTTTCTTCAATAGAAATAATACACGACGATAGTCAAATAACTCCATTGCAAAAATTAAAAAACGATTTATTTACTCTTTATAATCCTAATACGATGCCGAACGGTCCAAAGGATGTGTTACAAGTCACGGCTGAATTTCATTTGGACAACATTCACATGGTAAAGAAATTTTAGAAATATTTTAAAATTTTGTAACGGTTTTTTTTTTTTTTTGAAAAATTTTTCATTAATAATTTTCAGAATGAAAAAAGAGGAGAGCTCACGATGCAAGGTTTAGGAATATTGGTAAATTAATTTTTAATTTAAAAAAAAAAAACGGTTATTGATGATGATGATGATGATGTAAATTTTTTTAATTTGTGATAACAGAAATGGAACGATAACAAAATGAAATGGAATCCGGATAATTACGACGGTATCGATCATTTATTTATACCACCTTTTCAAATATGGACGCCATACCTGAGAGTTTTAAAGTAAATTGAATTTTTTTTCGGTTAGCATTCGTGATGGCGGCGTGTGTGTGTGGGAAAATTAATGAGAAATTTTATTATTATTATTTCAGCACTTTGATAATAGAAAAAACTCCATTGTTTGATTTGACGACGAGCGGAGTGATCGTTACGCACGATGGTTCGATATTTTGGCGTCCGCCATTTAAATCCGTGAGCTTTTGCGAAATCGATTTGAAAAATTGGCCCTACGACACGCATAATTGTTCTGTTTTGATCGGATTTTGGATGGAACCCCCGAATTTGTTACTTTCCATGTCCGTCGATCAAAAAACGGTAAAATTATATTAAACGTGTGTGCGTGCCTGCGTGCCTGTGTGCGTGCGAGTGCACGTGTCACCTTTTTAAACTTTTTGTTAAAATTAAGGTTGATAATACGAAAATCGGTTCTGAATGGGGAGTCGAAAGAGCGAGTTCATTAAATAACAAAAACGACGATGATGATGATAATTATGGTATATTGTACCTTGAAATTCGAAGAAATTCAGAATCTCAGGTTTTGCTATTAACAGTTCCTTGCATGGGTATGGAATTTTTTTTCTCTTCTTTTTTTCCTTTCCCGTACCTTTAATTAATTTGTTCAAAACTAAAAAATCAGGTTTTCCTTTTTAGCATCCGACGTATTATCATTATCATCTTTTTGGATATCATTTAACAATCCGAATAAATTTTATTTGAGTTGCGGAAGCGTAATAATGTTACTCGTTTCACTTTTATTAATGGGACAATCTATTCCCACGATGACTTTGGAAGTTCCTAAAATAAGTGAGTTTTTCTTAAAAGAAGGCAGAGGAAAAAGTGACGTCATCATAAAGTGAATCTCGTTGACACACGTTTCGGGACTTAATTAATTATTATTATTATTATTATTAATGTTTTTTTATAGTAAATTTGTATTCTTGGAGCGTCGTAATAGCATGTTTTCCGATTTTGGTTTTCGTCATTTTGAAAAATTTTACAAAAAGTTTAAAATTATCCGAATCCATGGAAAGAATGTTGAATAATAATTTTCTAGATCGATTTTGTTGTCTTCCCGAACTTCCTCTGGTGAGTTTTTTCCTTTTCCTTTTTTTTTTTTTTTTTTTTTGATTTTTAAGTTTATTTATTTATTATTATTATTATTATTATTATTTAGGATGTTTCCGAATATGGAAATTTAAACGAAGAAACGAATAAAATGAGAGGAAACGAAATCAATTCAATAAGATTAATATCGATAATTGAAAAAATTTTTTTTCTCATTTACGTTTGTATTTTAACCGTTCGATACATGCTATTGTAATTGATGACGACATTAAATTATTATTATTATTATTGTTAAGGTACAATTAAAAAATTTTATTTTAAAATAATTTTAAGGAAAAAAAGACTTTAAATAATTTTTTTATATATATATATATATATTTAATTTAACGCAAATTTATTCTTTTTAGTTTTTTGTTAAGAATTTAAAATAGAAAAATAATAAAATTTTTAAAGTTTTTTTTATACATTTCATTTGTTTAAATTTTAATTTAAATTAATTTAATATATATTAATTAAAATAATTAATTAATTTTAATACGTTGATTCGAACGATTTCCTTTTTTCCTTTTTTTTTTTTCAAATTTCCCGCGCAAAAAAAAGTGCTCATTTGACGGGAATATAATAGGTAAATAAACGTAAGATTTTTGATTTAAATATTTGTTGTTCCCCCGTTGTGAATATATATACCCTGTGAGTTAAAACATTTTGTATATCCCGAGATATTTTTTCGAGATGGTAGTGGTAGTTGTTTTTCCATTTTTTTTTTTTTTTTTTCGTTTTTTTTTTAAGTGCACATAATCAGTAGTTGAAAAATTTTTATTAAAAATAAATTTTGTTTTTTTTTTTTTTTTTTTTTTTTCACGTAATTTAAAATGGTAGAATCTCTTTTCGATTATCAATTTCGTTTAATATTAATCGGAGATAGTACTGTTGGAAAAAGTTCTTTGTTAAAATATTTTACGGATGGGAAATTTGCTGAAGTGAGTTATAATCAACAATGAATAATAATAATAATAATATTACTTGTTATTTTTTTTTATTTTTGCATATAATTGCGTATTTTTACATGAATTTGCGTTTGATTTTTTTTTAAGTGAAAGTTTTTTTTAAATTAAGACTGATACGATTAAAAAATATTTCTTTTAAATTTAAATTCGTTGATTTTATATTTAATGCGTATCATTTCCAACAAAAAAAAAAAAGTATGCTCTTAAACAAGTGTATTTTATTTGTTTACTATCTAATTAATGTCAGGTGTTTTTGTGTTTAGTACCTGTTTGAAGCCTAAAAAAACTTTTCATTTTATCCATTCAATATTATTTTATTTAATTAATTATTAAATAAGAATAATTTGGGGAAATTAATAATTAACCATTACTTAACAGGTTGTCCATTTTTTTTTTTGTTGTCAATTTAATTTCTAATCATAACAATGTAAAAAAAATTATAATTGTTATAAACTTTGCTCTCTCTTCTTTTGAATAAAGTACACAATGTCTTTATTTATAAACAATAGCAAGTAGTGTGATGATGTTTGTTCGATTTTAAATTCAAATTAAAATTATCATCAAAACATATTGTAAATGAACTTTGAATACTTGTATCATATTTAAAAAAAAAAAAAAAACAAGTTTACTCATATTTATATACCAATTTTGTTTTTATTTAAAAAGTTTTTTTTTTTTTTTACATTTCCTTTTTTGACGAAAAAAATTTTAAATTAAAACCCATTCATATCGAAATTATAATTCATTTTTTTATTTTTATTTACAAATTTAATTGGTTTTTATATGTAGTGGTTAAATATTCTGACCTTGAAAACCAATCAGTTTTCTTTGTTATAAAATTCATTATCATGGTTTAATGTGAACAATTGAATTTATTTTTAAAAAAAAAAAAAAGAATATTTTGTTAATATTAAAGGAATTGTAATGTTTAAAATTTACCATCTTTAGTTAAATTTTATTATTTTGGGTAACCTTGTTTAAGAATTGTTTAGGAAAGTTGGAGTTTTTATATATTTTGTACGATATTTACATGATATTGAAAAAGTATAATATAAAAAATATATTTGGTTTTTTTCTAGGTTTCAGATCCTACTGTTGGTGTAGATTTTTTTGCCAGGCTAATTGTTTTAGATGATGGTACTAAAATAAAACTTCAATTATGGGATACAGCAGGACAGGAAAGATTTCGTTCGATAACAAAATCATATTACAGAAATTCAGTTGGGGCCCTTCTCATATACGATATATGTAACAAAGCAAGTTTTGATCACATACCTATTTGGATGAATGAAGCAAAAAGACATATTGATCCTCACAGGCCAGCATTTGTTCTTGTCGGTTGTAAAATGGATTTAGCCAATTTAACAGGGTGCCGAGCTGTTGATTTAAATGAAGCCAAGGCATTTGCCAAATTACACAATATTCCACATATTGAAACATCAGCAAAAAGCGGGACAAATGTTGAAGAAGCATTTAAAGCTATAACGCAAGAAGTTTATAATAGGGTTAAATCGGGGGAGTATACAATCGAAGAGGGTTGGGATGGTATAAAAACTGGATTCGCAGGACCTGATGGACTTGATTTTAATTATATCGAAGGGGAACCAGCTAAATCATCATGTTGTTAGCAAAGCAATTAAAAAAAAAATACAAAATTAATTCTAGTCAAGTTTTTTGTTACTTGCTCAAAATTTTGCAAAAAAAAAAAAAAAAAAAAAAAGAAAACAATATTCGCTCTAACCTTTGGTATCAAATTTATAGAAATTCATTTTAAATTTGTCAGGTTGGAAACAAACAAACAAAAAAATTTAGAAATAAAATAAAATTTTTTTTAACTTTAAAAGCTTTATTTTCTCAATAATATTATTAAAAATAATAATAATGATACAAAACAAGAAGCCATTTTTTTTTTTTTCAAAGCATAAAATTATTAGAAATAGGCAGACACACACACACACTTTTATCGAAAACAAATTTGCTTTACATATAAATTTTAGTACAATTTATAAAGATAAATTTTTTTTTTAATAAGTTAATAAATATTAATAATAAATATTATTAATAAAGAGTGACAAAAACTAATTTAAATTTTGTTTATATAGGATAAAAAAATTTTAGTTAAATAATTTAATTTGTGATTTATTAATGTTTTTTATTCTCACTCTTCTTTTTTTTTGTAATTGATTCATGTACATGTATACATAAATATGTATTTATACTATTAAAGTCATGTTTTATTAATTAAAATTTTTTTTTTATGTGAAGTCGAGTGGAAAAGGTTTTTTGCACAAATATTATAAAATAATAATGATAAATTCCTTTATTTTGTTACTTTTTTAGTTTTTTTTTTTTTTTTTACATTAATGTACATTAATGATGATGGAATCGATTACAACTACTCAAGTTCATAACAAAAAAAAATTATTTTCTCTCTTTCAACTAATAATAATAATAACAATAATAATTTTTATTTAATTTTTTTATAATAATAATGTGCTTTTTTTTTTAAAATAAAAATTAATTAATTAATTAATTTACTTTTTTAACTTTACTTTATTGTAAATAACAATATGTGATAAGATAAAGTATACATATATATATATATAAATGGACAAATTTTTTTTTTTTATATTAATAACATTTTTAGTTATTTAATAAATTTCATTTTTTCCCTCTTTATATTTATATTATTTTTTAATATAATATTTAATAATTTTTTTATTATTTTCTAATTAATTATATAAAAAAAAACAATTATTAAAAGAAAAATGGCTTTTTTATTAAAAAAAAAAAAATTATGCCTTGGAGTTATAATTATATTTAAAAAAAGACATTTTTTTTAGATGAGTAAAAAAAAAATTTTTTTTAAAATGCTTTATTAATTTTTTATTTATTTAGTTATTAATAATAATAATTATATAAATATTTACGTATAAAAAAAAAAAAAAAAATTTTTTTTTTGATAATTACGTATCCATGTATATAAACGTATTTACAAACGTGTTAACGTGATCGTTATATATAATCGAGTTTGATTACGTCATCGGTTAAGTTATTACGTAATCGTAAAAGAAAATGAGAAAGAAAAAGAAAATTTTTTTTAAAAGTTAATTTGTTTTATTATTATTATTATTTTGTAGTTATTTTTTAATAAAATTATTTCGTTTTTTTTTTTTTTTAATAATTTTTATTTATTTAATCATACGTAAATGACGATAAACGATTTATTTCGTCCTTTTAAAAATTTAAATGGACGAACGAACAAATGGGTGGATTAATAATAATGATAATGATTAAAAGGTTTTTGTAAGAAAAAATTCGAGAAAATTTAAATGAATTTTTTTTTTATCATTTTATTATTATTATTATTTTCATCACCAGAATACAATAAAAAAAAAAAAAAAAAAAATACAAAATCTTTGGCTTTTGACATAATCGTAAAAAAAAATTTTTTTTTTTATTTTTTTTTTTTACAAAATTCACAGGTAGTACAAATTTTAATTTCTACATTATTATTATTATTATTATTAATATATATATATATATTTTTTTTTTCAATATCAATTTATGATTTCTAGTCTATTTAATTTTTTTAATTAACTATCAACAAATTTTCTTATTATTTATTTGAAAATTTATTTTATTATTTTAAAAATTATTAAAAAAAAAAAAAAAAAAAAATCTTATCATATATTATCAGTACAAACTTTATCATTTACAAAAAAAATTTATTATTATTATTATTATTATTATTATTATTATTATTAATACATGAAAGAAAATTTTATTGTTTTTCTTTTTTTTTATACAGTACAAAATCAATCACCGAAAATAAAAATTTTTTTTTTTTTAGGAACAAAAATTTCACGATAAGTCTTATCAAAATAATAATAATAATTTTTTTTGTAATTTTTTAAACAAAAAAAAACAAAATGTCTACCTGTTCATATAATTGACCTTAATAAAATAAAATAAAAAAAATAATTTATATTTTTATGCCGATAATATTATGCAATAAATAATCAATCAATCAATTTATAGATAATGATAATAATAATAAACTGAAATCATCCTGAGTTTATTGTGAGGTAGAATTATTTAAATAAAAAAAAAAAAATTTTTACATGAAATGAAAAAAATAAAAATTGATTTGATTTTTTTTTTATTAACTGCTATTCATTTTTTTTGTTTTTAAATTTTAAACAGATTAAGGCAAACTACGAATAGAAACGGTTAAAAACCGTACATAATAATAATAATAATAATAATAATAATAATTTTCTTGTATGAAGTGAAAAAATTATCACAGAATCTACCATAATTATTATTATTATTATTATTATTTTATATTATCCGAGATCAAAGCTACTCACTATTAAATATTATTTTGAACTTTTTTGTTGTAAAAATAAATATGGCAAACGTTTGATTAAAAAAAAAAAAACTTTTGTTATTATTTTAATAATAAATAAATAAATAAATGGGTAATGTTAACATAGAAAAATGAAAACACTTTTCGTATAATTATTATTATTATTTTTTCTTCTGCTAATGAATTTTAGTATTACTCATAATAACAGCAAATAATAAATTAAATAAAAAAAAAAAAAAGATTTTTTTTTTCTTTTCTTAAATAAATAAAGCTAAAAATGAAATAATATCAAAAAATGTAAATGTAAGAGAGAGAGAGAGAGAGAGAGAGAGAGAAATTATATATATATATACTAAAAGTTTAATTCTAATTGTAAATAATATTCAAGCACTAATATGTGATGTTAATATAAAAAAATTATTTTTGTACTACGAGAAAAAAAAAAATGAAAAAAATGAAAAAAAAAATTCATTGTATCAGTCAGATAAAATAAAACAACCTGTTTTTTTTTTTTTTTTTAGGTTAAAAAAAAAATGTTCTAACTGTAGCTTTGATTTGTTGCCTGCATACTGGACAATCTTTTAAATTTGGAGCACAGTCTACACATGCGACAAGATGACCACAGGGAAGTAAAACTGCTCCCACTTCTGAATCCATACATATCTTACACTGTCTAGCTTCTTTCAATCTTCTGTTCTCTTCTTTTAATGCTATGTTTTCTAAAACCGATTGAGTTCTTGTCAACACTTTACCTTCTTCCTCTTGAACGAGTGAATTTGAAAGACTGGGCATTGATACTGATAAAGACCTGAAAATATAATAAATTTAACAGAGTTCAGCTCGCTGTTTCAAGTGTTTGATATTAAAAAATAATAAAATGTATGTTTAAGGATGATTAATTTTAATTTACCCTTGCAATCCAGAAGATTTTACATCGGGATTACTTGTGCCGGGTTCGGAGGTTGATTTAAATTGGTTATCTGAATTATTGTACAGTCTTTGTATTTGATTTACATATTCTTGTCCTTTTACTAAAAGTAAAAAAGGACAATTGGGAAACCATCGAGCATGTTCACTCCATGGTTCATCTTCAGGTGCCCAATGCCTTAGGCCACCATCACAGTGAAAGCATCGAACCATGTCTTGATCACCACCTTAAATAATTTTTAAATTTTAATAAAATTGCTATTAAATAATAATATTCATGTAGTTAAAAATAATTTTTTTTTTTTTTTTACCAGGATCTTGTCTTCCGACGTAGAAAAACCCAGCTTGTGCCAATACATTTGGCTGTTGAGTTAAATTACTTGGCCAATTTTCAAATGTTCTAAGTCTAGAATCTGCTGTTGAAAATTTTGGATTTTTGGGACCCCTATGCCTTTGAATTCCCAATTCTTCAAAATTATCCAATGCAAATAATCTTTCCCCTGTAGAAGCTCTGGTTAGTGTTTGACTTTTGGGAACATTTCCTACTGATTGACCAAGAAGAAAAGGACAATCTGGAAAATGCCTTCTGTGCTCGGCTTCTGGGATATCACCTACTTCCCAACGGCAAGCTATGCCATTGCAAAAAGCACATTGTACCTAAATTGTAAACAAGGTGAAACATAGTAATTGAATTAATACTACTTTTCTATAAAAATTATTACATGTTTTTTATTGTAATAAACAAAAAAAAAAAAAATTCATAACTATGAATTTTTTTTTACTTACAGCATCACCTTTATGAAGAAAGTAAAACCCTGTTTCAGCTAATGCTTCTGGTGTAACAATAAAAGGAATTGGCCAATTACTAAATGAATCAAGTCTAGCTGATTCTCTTTTATAAATAGAAGATTGTGATTCCCAAGCCCCTATAAGATTTCTTTCTGTTGAATTTAAAGTAGTTCGGGCTTGTGATTGTTGATTATTTCTATTAATTGTTAAGGGTACGTTTCCAGAATTAACTGGATCTCTAACAAACGCGCAATTGGGACTTAAATTACGATGCCTGGTCATTACTTGATCACCATAATTCCAATCTGATATGTTACATCCACAGCTAAAGCAAGTAACATTTAATCCGGGGCCAGTAAAATAAAATCCAGCTTGAGCAATTCGACTGGGTTCTACAGCAGCATTTCCTGGCCAGTCTCGAAATGTATTAAGCCTTTGTTCTTCTACATTCATACTAAAATCCACGAAGTTCACACTAACATATTTAATTAATAATAAATAAATAAATAAATAAATAAATAAATAAAATAAATAAATAAATAAATAAATATATAAATACTATTTAACTACAAGTTCTTAATTACTACCAGACATTGTCAGTGGTTTTATTTGTCTATAAATTACAAAAAGGGAATAATTTTTCCCTTATAAGTTGGCTGCACAATTTTTTAAAAAGATGGAGGGAAACCTTTTAAACTAAATAAAAATTAAATTAAATTAATAAAAACAAATAATTATTTTTTTTAAATAATAAAATGGAATTTTTTTGTTTGTTTTTACAATCATTGTTGTTTTTAATTTCAGGCTAATTTAAATAGTATTATTTTAAAAATAGTTTTTTTTTTTTTTAAGAATGTCGTTTCTGTTTATTTACTATAATCCTCGTTATCACCTTGATAGTCTACTAAATGAATATTTCATTTCAAGGTCGTTTTCAGTAAGAAAACATGGCTCACATTGTAAGGAAGGTATGATTTTTTCCTGATTGCTCTTTAAATTAATTGAATTTAAAATATTAATAAACTAATTTACTTTCTCATTGCATTGTTTCTAATGCTATTTTTTTATTTTAGTTTATTTATGTTTACGTGGACAGTTACATAACCATATTTTTAACATTTTTATTTTTAGCTACGCTTATCGCCATCGAAAATAAGACAATTTTCCAATTCATCACAGCTCAATGATGTTTTTATATTATCTGCCGTCAGGACTCCGATGGGGTCATTTCAAAGTGCCTTAGCACCTGTTTCGGCCCCTCAATTGGGTGCTGTTGCCTTAGAGAACGCCATACAAAGAGCAAATTTAAAAAAAGAAGATGTTCAAGAAGTTTTCATGGGATGCGTCTTACAAGGGGGTGTAGGCCAAGCACCAGCTAGGCAAGCTACTCTTTTTGCAGGTTTACCACAAGCTACTGTCTGCACAACAATAAACAAAGTTTGCTCATCTGGTATGAAAGCCATAATGTTAGCCAGTCAAGTTATAATGACTAATGGTCAAGAAGTGTGTGCTGCTGGCGGAATGGAATCTATGTCAAATGCTCCCTATTACATGGACAGAGGAACTACTCCTTATGGTGGTGTTCATTTAAAAGATGCCATAGTTTTCGATGGTTTGACTGATGTTTATGATAAAATTCACATGGGAGTATGTGCAGAAAAATGTGCCACAGATCATGGATTGACAAAGGAAGATCAGGATAAATATGCAATACAAAGTTATAAAAATTCTGCTAAAGCTCATGAAAGTGGAGTTTTTAAAAATGAAATAGTACAAGTAGTTGTTAAAAAAAAAAGTAAGTTTTCAAATTTTATGTTATTATTTTGAAAGTATATTACTGTCTATGAAAGTTTATACTAAATAAATATCTGAGGCCAAAAAATAATTTTATAATTGTTTCATTGCATTTCATTTTCAGAAGAAGAAAAAGTCGTTGTCGAAGATGAGGAATACAAGAGAGTGGATTTTGCAAAATTTCCATCATTAAGACCAGTTTTTAAGGTGCAGTTTATTTAAAAACATAAATTTATTCTATTAATACTCTTTAGCCTAAAACAGGTTTTACAATGTTACTTGTATTTTACAATTTGACCTTTACATAAATTACACTTTTTTTTTTTTTTTTTTAGAAAGAAAATGGTACAGTTACAGCAGGGAATGCTTCAACATTAAATGATGGTGCTGCTGCTTTGATATTAGCTTCTGGTGAATATGTAAAATGCAAAGGTTTAAAACCTTTGGCTAAAGTTATTTCATTCGCTGATGGAGCTGTTGCTCCAATCGACTTTCCAATTGCTCCCACTGCTGCCATTCCTAAAGTAAGTCTTTTACTAATTTAAAAAAAAAAAGATTTAATGTATTACTTTTGAAAATAAAACAAATTTTTGTTAACTCACATCCTTTTCAGGCTTTAAAACTTGCAAATTTATCAGTCGATCAAATTGCTCAATGGGAAATCAATGAAGCTTTTAGTGTGGTTGCTTTGGCAAACATGAAAATATTGAAATTAGATCCATCAAAAGTCAATAAACATGGAGGTGCTGTTAGTTTAGGACATCCCATAGGGTATGTTTTGAATTTATCAGTATTAGTATCGATTATCAAATTCTTATGAATGGTTTTTGATTTGTAAATTGCAGTATGTCAGGTGCAAGAATCGTTGGTCATTTGGTACATTCTTTAGCTTCTGGTGAATATGGTTGTGCAGCAATTTGTAATGGTGGAGGTGGAGCTTCTTCTATTATTATTCAAAAGTTATAAATAAATAATAAGAAAACAGTAAAATTGAAAAAAATATTTTTTATATGGTGTATATTTGGGATAAAGAAAACAATTTGTGGTGTTCGTTTATACAATCAACGTTAACAATTTTTTATTTCAATCAAAACAGTAAATAAAATAAAATAATTGAGTGTAAAAAAAAAAAAAAAAAAAACATGAATGAAATTTAAATACTTTTCATTTTAAAGTAAACAAAACGAACAAGTTTTTTTTTTTATTTTTTTTTGTAAGAATGTTTTAAATTCTCATTTTTTTTGGGGGAAATTTTTTTTAAACGTATCGAAAAAAAATATTAAAATGTTTTTTTAAATTTATTATTATTATTATTTTTTTTTTTTGTTGAATAAATTATTATTTTCAACCATGTTATGTAAAAATAATTTTTTTTATTTTCTAATGTGTGACTAATGATAATAATGAAAAATTTGTAATCCATGGCGTTTTTTCCAGTAATTGTACGAATTTGTTATTTTATTTTTAAAAAAAACTTTTAATTATAATTAATAAAATTATTTTATTGTTTACAAACATGGTGTTGTAACAAAATAAATGTTTCAAATAATTTCAGAAAAAATTATTATTTAGAATTGGAATAAGAAAGTTTTCATCGCAGATTAATCTTAATGAACCGTATATATTATCAGCTGCAAGAACTCCCATAGGTAGCTTTCAGGGTAAATTAGGTTCTCTGACTGGAGTAGAATTAGGTACGATAGCACTGAAAGCTGCTATACGTAAATCAAATGTAAATAAAGAACACATAGCCGAATTAATTGTCGGTTGCGTTTTTCTTTGCGGTATGGGACAAGCACCATTTTATCAAATAGCATATTATAGTGGTGAGTTGTAGGATATGCTACCTACGTTAATCCTAAAACGTTATAAATTTATTTATTTATTTATTAAAGGTTTACCCACGACCGTAATAGCAAGTTCTATAAATAAATTATGCGGATCTGGTTTAAGATCGATAATAAATGCATCACAAACAATACTTACGCAAACCCAAGAAGTCGTGGCTTGCGGTGGGATAGAATCATTAACCAACGTACCTTTTTTCATGCGTCGAAAATGTTTTGAAATGGGAACGATACTCGTACCTGACATATTATTTCACGATGGATTAAATGATTTTTTAGAAGAGGTTGATGTGACTGCGTATGCAGAAATCACAGCACGGGATTATAATATTGGAAGAAAAGAACAAGACGAATATGGGATTCGTAGTTATAATAAAGCAATGGAAGCAAGAAAAAAAGGTTTTTTTAACGACGAAATAGAACCTGTCGAAATACAAAAAAAAGGTTATCCCCTTCATAATAATAATAATAATAATAGTAATAAATATAACAAAATTAAAAAAATTATTATTATTATTAATATTATTAATTTTAGGTGGTAAAACGGAAATGGTTTGCGACGATGAAGAAATAGATGGTCTAGATTTGACAAAATATTACAATTTAAAATCAATCAATGGAGTAATTAAAAAAAAAAAAATTTCTTTTTTTTTTTAAATAATTAACGGATGATGTTTTTTAAATAATAATAATAAATTAATTTTATTTAAGGAACACGGAACGGTAACCGCCGGAAATTCATCGAATCTTGCTGATGGAGGATGCATGTTGGTACTTGCAAGCGGAAATTACGTATTAAAACAAAATTTAAAACCGTTAGCAAGAGTGGTATCGTTTGCCGAAGGTTCCCTTGAACCAAAACAATTTTGCATAGCACCCGCTGTTGCCATACCTAAAGTAAAAAAAAAAAAATAATAATAATTAAAACAAAAATTTTATTTAAATAATTATCAAAAAAAAAATAAAATGGATTCTTTTTTTTTAGGCTTTACTAAGAGCAAATTTATGTGCAAACGACATCCATTTATGGGAAATACACGAAACGTTTAGTTTGACTCCATTAATTTTAATAAACATTTTTAAATTGGATCCCGAACGTGTCAACATACACGGTGGTGGCGTCTCAATGGGTCATCCTTTCGGGTAATTAAATCGAAAATAAATGAATTTAAACGATGCATCTCATTATTATTATTAATATTATTATTATTATTCAAGCATGTCCGGTGCGAGATTAATAACTCATCTCGTATATTCATTAGAACCTGGACAATATGGATGTGCTACCATACCTCATGCAACGGGTGGAGCATCGGCAATGATTATACAAAAATTATGTTAAAAAATATAAATATATAAAATATTAATTCATCGTCTTAATAAAAATTTCGATTTTAAACGATATAATAATAATAATAATAATAATAACCGGAAGTGAATTTTTAATGAAAAATTTAAAAAAAATTCAAACCCCCTTAGTTTGAAGCTACCTGTTGTTGTTACTAAAAATTTGAATAAACAATAAAATTATTCGACCGAACATAAAATTTTCTTTTTCTTTTTTTCGCAAGGTAATTTTAACCAATAAGAATACCGATTATTTTTAAAAATAATAATAATAATAATAATAATAAAAGGTTAAAAATAAAAAAGGAAAGAGTCTACCGCGAAGAAAAATTTTTATGAATGTAAAATTTTTTTTTTTGAATGAGTTTTAAAAAAAGTTGGCTTTGTACGTTTTTGCTGATTTCATTTATTTAAAATGCCATAAATAATGGATTTAATATGAGGTTTTCTATCTTTTTCTTTTTTTTTTTTTTTTTTACCTTTTTTTTTTATAAAAAAAAAATTTATTGTTCATTGATAGGTTTTTCAAGAACAGATTTTTCTCACGTCTTATTTAAATAATTTTTTTTTCTTCAAAAAGTTTCCTTTTTAATAATAATTTAACGGATTTTTTTTAAATATTAATTTTATTTTTCTTCAACAACATACATAACATAACATATTTTACGGATTCGTTAAAACCGTTAATAAAACATTATGACGTCATAAAAAAAAGAAAATTTTTAATTTGTTTTTTCCCCGAGTAAATTAAAAAAAAAAAAAAAGAGAGAGAGAGAGAATTCAATTCGGTATAAAAATAATTGATGGAAATAATAATAATAATGATAATAACGAGTTGACTTTTAACGAAACGACAAAGTGACTTATTAAAACAATAATAATAATAATAAAACAACCAAAGGGAAAAAGCAAACTAAGAGTTTAGTAATGATGAGGATAACAATAAAAAAAAAAAAAAAAAAAAGGAATCCATGCTGGGAACCGGCGTCCTTTGTTCTCATTACCAGAAAAGCTTCAAACTCCAATTTTAACAAATTTTATCCGGTAACAAATTATATTTTTAGTTTTCCCTTCGTTTTTCCAAACAATCGTTTCCAACTCCATTTTACTTTTTTTTTTTTTTTATATTTTAATTAACATTATTAAAAAAAAAAAAAAATTGATCGCGTGTAACAATGTGTAAAATCATTTCAAAAAAGAAAAAATTTTTCTTTTTTCGTCAATATAATATACCTTATGAAAAATCTCTCTCTCTCTCTCTCTCTTTCTTTCCCCCCCTCTCTTTTAATAATAATAATAATAATACTTTTAAATGTTTTATTAAACACGAATCGATCGATTTATTTGAATGAATATCAAATTTCTCATGTTTAAACAAAAAAAAAAAAATTTTTTTTTTTTTTTTTTTTTTTCAAATAATTTTCCCAAACTATTCAATATTTTAATTTGAATGCTGATGATTGCTAATTGATATTTAAAAAAAAAAAAAAAAAAAAAACAAAAACATTAACGATAATAATAATAATGATAATAAAACGATTAAAACATAAACAACAAACATAAGCAAACTTATGTCATTCGGTACCGATTTTTTTTTTTAGGCGCACAACTCATCGCGTACAAAACAAAAACATTCGTCAGCAAAATAATTTTTAAAAACGTAATAATTACGTAAATAACACATAGAAATATTATTACCGGTGGTGATAAGAGATAATAAGAAAAAAGGTGGGGGGAAGGGGGAGGAGGGGGGGGGTTAGGTGAAGTCAGCGGTACCCCACTAAAATCGTTGAGAAGGGAAAGAATAAAATTTTTTAAAAAGTCTATCTATGTAACGTGTGTGTGCGTACTCATAATAAAAAACAACTATTGGGAGAGAGAGAAAAGAGAGAGAGAGAGAGAGAAAGAGAGAGAAAAAAAAAGAAGGGAGAGGAATGAAAGAAAAGTAAATAAAAAAGAAAAAGATAGGGAGTGAGAGAGAGAGAAAACAATATTATCTACCTGTGACTAAAAGAGCCGCCATGCTTTTTTCACGGAGGAGAGTTTCGACCAATGGGAACGGGGAAGGAGGTCGTGAAGGCGGAGCCAACCGTAGTTTAACCTCGGTTTGTCCCTTGAGGGCAAAACGATGGTTGACGCGCCGCTTTGTGTTCAGTGTACGTGATTTCGCGAGAGTGCCGAGTGATTTTTTTTTATTATAAAAATTAACTAAGGTAAGTGCCATGGCACGATTGCGTTATCTTGCCAGATAGTTTTTAAGCACGTCTTGCCCTTCTGACCTTTCATTAATGTCCGAGCACGCATTGTCTTACTTAATTCTTAACATTTACTCCCTCCTCACTTTTACACAAAAAGAAATACTGATAATAATAATAATAAATATGTAAGAAAAACCTTTTTACAAAAAAAAAAAAAAAAAAAAAAATTAATACGAAAATTTTATTTTTTTCCCCCTTTTTTTCGTTTCGTTTCGTTTTGTTTTTTCTTCTTATGTTTTTTCTATTTAATAAACATTTTATGTTTGAGTGTTCGATACGAACATAATATTTATGTTTATGTTTAAAGAGTTTATGTTTTGATAAGTGAAAATTAAAATTCGTCGTTTTTTTTTTTTTTTTTATTAAATCCGTTAAAATTCTCGATTTTTCGTGGGAATCGTGGGAAAGTTTTTTTATTTTTTTTTAATTATATGGCAACAATGAAAAAAAATTACCTGAGTAATAATAGTAATAATAATAATCAATTTCGGCGGTGTCGGATAAAGTGGGAAAGGTACGCGACGGATAATTTTAATGTTAGTTTTAACTACCCGCCATTGTGTTGACGAATTTTGTTTTTTTTTTTTGCTGTCGTTCACGAACGGGAAATTTTACATTTAGGAATATTTTTTAAAGTTTTAATTTTTGTTTTAACATTTGTGTGTTTGTCGTTGTTCATATTATTTTTCTATAACAAAAAAAAAAAAAATTATAAAATCCGTTACGGTCGTTCCCATGACCATACGTATTTTATTTACACGTTGATTGTGAGAAAGTCGTTAATTTTTTTTTTTTTTTTTTGCGACAAATGTTTTGAAAATTATTTATTTGATATTACATAATTTAATAAAACCTACATAAAATATTTATAAACGATTTTAATAATGTTGGTAACTTCAATAATTTTTTTTTTTTTTTTGTCATTCGTGGATTTTTCGAGGAAAATTTGTGACAAATATTCCATTGGTTTTTTTTTTTTTTAAATTTTTATTTTTTTTTTTGGGGGGGGGAAGGGGAAGGGTGAGAATTTCCGTGAGAAATTTTTCAAAAGGTAAAACAAAAGACGCATAAAAAAAAAGAAAAATTTAATTTAAAAATCTGTCACTTGTGTCAACCGGATGTGATTGGGGGTGGTCTTGGTTTAATTTGAAAAAGACAGTTTTTTGATTTTTATTTCAAAAAAAAAAATAAAAACCCGTATGGAACCTGATTCGATTCGGGAACAACCCCTATCCCATTACAAAATTAAGGATAATAAAATTCTCACGGAAACTTAAAAAATTAGTGAAATTTTTTTTTCTTCAAATAATTCAATCCGTGATTAGTTTTTTCCTACTCCCAAAAGGCATTAATGCCGTTTATTATTATTATTATTACATCAATAACGCGTAAATTAAGAGTCGATGTTGGTAAATGAATAGATCGAAGTAATAAATTTAAAATTTTTTTTTTAAATTGCGTTTTAAATTTCGTATCATTCGAATTTTGCATACGAATTCAAATGATAAGGGGATGTTATCAAATTATTTGCAAGTTTATATATTTAATATTAATCACGTGACTCATTAAAAAAAAGTGATAAGAAGAAATAATTTACGAGAAGATTTCGATAGTAAATTGAGATAATGAGATTTTTTTTGTTTTGTTTTTTTTTTCCGATTTGCTAAATTACTAGCAAATTTTTTGCTCCTGGAATGACGTCATCACGGTCAATGATAAGATTACTTATTGATGATGATTTTCAACGATGAAAATTAAACGGCTTTATTATCATTGATTGCTGGACAAATTACCGACGATTAAACTTTATCAAATCAAACAGTAAAGAAAACTTTAAAAAAAAAGGAAAAGTTTTAATGATAATAATGATGATGATGATGTTGAAAAAAAGTTTTTCCTCCGTTTAAACACTATTGATTGTAAGTTCATGTTGACCATAGGAAAATAAAACATAAAAACAACAACAAAAATGAACATAAAAAAAATAAAAGTTTTTTTTTTTTTTCCTCCTGTAGATTTTTTTTATTACAAAAAAATTTACGAGTTCAAAACAGTCACAACAAGGCTTACATTATTATTATTATTATTTATTTATTTTTGTTTTTGTTTTTTTAGTTTTCTCCATAGTCAAATGAGGTTCTGTTTTCTCTCTCTCTCTCTCTCTCTCTCCGTAATATTTCGATGACGTAATTTGTCGTTAAAACAAAAAACATTCCGTTTGTTTCCAGCGGAATGAATTTTTTTAATTCCAGATGAATGAATGAATGAACGAATTCCTTGTTGAATTTATGGATATATTCATTCCAATGTGTTTTTTTTTTTTTATGGAAAAGACTAAATTTTTCACGAGTAGCCATTTTTTTTTGGGTTATGTTTAGTTTTTGATTAGGTAAACGTGTCTCGTAGGTTTTAGTTTTTTTATTTGTTTCGACGCCGTCGCCGTAATTTCAAATGCTGGAAAATATTTATCACGTATAAATAATAATAATAATAATAATAATTTGTTTTTGTTTTTTTTTTTTTTGATTGAGTTGTGCATGTT